CCCCCTGCTCTCTTCAATGTGAATGGGAGTTATTATGTAGTCAATAAAGCTTCTCTAATAAGGCAGTATCTTTTGGAATAAGAATAAGATACAAAGGCTGTCATGGCTATCTTTCTCTTTTTCACTCCGTATTTGCTGATACTGAAATATGAATGTTGCGAATATTTTGCCCCTCGTAGGTCACAGACTTCATGAGGGCCCACAACACACACCTTGCTTAATAATTGTGTCTCAGGAGCACAAGATTAATGCAGAGTTGAGCAGAGCTGAGGCATAGTAAGTAATAACTTAAAAATGTGCAAAGGGGCTGGAGAGATAGGTCAGTATCTGTAACTCCAGCTCCAGGAGATCTGACGCCCTCTCTGGGCCTCCATGGGCATTACATGTACATGATGAGCAGGCAAAACACCCATCCACATGAAATAACAAAATAAAAAAAAATTTAATTAAAAAGAACCAATAAGAGAGAGTTAAAAGGAAGCTATAGATTGCTCAGAAAATCCTTGGGTTCTTCCAGTGATTTTAAATAATAAGGCTTTTGTCTTAATTCATGCTTTTCTGGTTACAACAAAATACCCGTGGACCACGTAAATTATAAAGAATACAAATTAACTCCACTCATGTTTTCAGATATTGGGATCCAAGATCATAAGGCCAGCATCTGGTGAGGGCTTTCTGCTGCACCATAACAGGGCAGAGGGTATCAGGTGGAGAGCAGGGCCAGTGTGTTCGTTAGCCTGAGCCTTTGTCTCCTTATAAAACCATGAAGGGCATGATGAGCACCCTACTATCATGATCACATTTGACCTAGTCACCCCCCCTTAACTCTCCCCCCATTTCATTAACATTAATTTGGGGGCACATTCTAAGAGTATGTGTCAGTCGGCTTTCTATGACTGTATCAAACGACAGTCAGATGCTACACTTTCAAAGAGGTTAGAGGGTTCAGTCCACAATCAGGTAGCCCCTGTGCCTTTGGGCCTGTGGCAGCAAACCGTGGCAGGAGTGCATGGTGGGGAAGCCCATTCAGTTGACAGCCTGGAATGGAAAGGAAAGAGAATATGGGTTCCCACTCTTTCCCTTGAGACTGCCCTTCCATAATTGCCGGCCTCTCACTACGCCCCACCACCGAAAGGCTCTACCTCCTCTTGACAACATTGCTCTGAAGATCAAGACATCAGCACACAGGCCTTGGTGACACTGACGATCTAAGCCACCAGTGACAGTCCTCTTGGAATCACTCATCCTGGAACTGCAGTGAGTCAGAAGCCAGGGACAAAATATTGTGCAGCATTTCTGTCTTCTGACCTCTAGGTTGGCAAGATGTGGCAGAAGCAACGGTCGCTTGGTCCCAGCGCCTGGGCATGATGGAACCTTTAGTTAAGACTTTCGCCCTCTGGAGATGCCGCCCTCATATAGCTGTCACCATGACAACATACCCGATGTAAACAATGTCAAAGAGGGTGGGGTTTATTTGGGCTCACAGTTTCATGGGCAGATGTTGGAGCTGTTTATTCTGGGTCTATGGTGAGGGATGACATGGTGACAGGAGCGTGTGAAGTAGAAGACTGTTAACTTCTTGGTTCAGGAAGCAGAGAAGGGGCATGTCAAGACATAGTCTCCCCATGACCCACTTTTCTCTAGCTGGACCCCATCTCTTCAGGTTTCCAAACCCTCCCGCAGTAATGTCACCATCCATGGACTGAGTCTCAATACATGAGGTTTTGTGGGAGATATTTCTTCACAAACCATATATCCATATGTATGTATGTGTGTAGGTATATGCACATGTATATGTATATAACACAAGGCTAGACAGTCAAACAGAGATGGTATCTCATATGTGTGTGGTTAAGGCTAGATAATCAAATGCAGAGGGCATCTCATATGTAGGTAGCAAGGCTACGTAATTGAATGCAGAGGTGTCCCACATGTAGGGAGTACTACAGACTAAAAAGGAAATAGGAAGAGGCAGAGAAGAGGCTTGTCTTAGTTACTGTTCTATTGCTTTAAAGAGACACCACGATCAAGGAAACTTATAGAGGGGAGCATTTAATGCGGGGCTTGCTCACAGTTTCAGAGGGTTCTATGGTGATGTTGTGTTCCCCAAAATATTGTGCACCCTAGTAAACTTCTCTGGGGTCAGAGGACAGAACAGCCACTAGATATAGAGGCCAGAAAATGGTGGCACACACACACTTTTAATCCTAGCATTCCAGAGGCAGAGATCCATTCGGATCTCTGTGAGTTCAAAGCCACACTGGAAACAGCCAGGCATGGTGACTCACGCCTTTAATCCCAGGAAGTGATGGCAGAAAGCAGAAAGGTATATAAGGTGTGAGGGCCAGGAACTAGAGCTGGTTAAGCTTTTAGGCTTTTGAGCAGCAGTTCAGCTGAGATTCATTCTGGATGAGGATTCAGAGGATTCCAATCTGAGGACACAGGATCAGCTGAGGAATTAGCAAGGTGAGGTAGCTGTGGCTTGTTCTGCTTCTCTGATCTTTCAGCATATACCCCAATACCTGGCTCCAGGTTTGTTTTTGTTAATAAGACCTTTTAAGATCTGTGCTACTTTAGTCCATGATCATCATGGTGGGGAGCATGACACCAGGCAGGCAGGTATAGCTCTGAAGAAATAGCTGAGAGCTACATCTTGATCTGAAGAGAGAGGGTGGGAGGAAGGGAGGGAGAGAGGAAGGGAGGGAGAGAAGGAGAGAGGGGAAGAGAGAGAGAGAGAGAGAGAG